TTACAGGTGTGAGCCATCACACTTGGTCAATTTTTGAAATCTTTTAACATTTTCTTCCTACAGTATGAAGAATCCTTGTGTACATCCCACTGACAAAAACAAAACGACTGACGTAACTTTCCTAATTGCTCAGAACATTACCAATAGATTCAACTATTCTTTCTGGATGGTTTATGATGCATTAAATGATTTTGTAAAACAACTGTTTTATATTCACAAAGTCTTTCAGGTAGGAAATTCTTCAATAAGCCTACCTGACACAGAGAACAGCTTACAGAAGCCAGATAGATGCCAGGCAGTAAAAGCTACCGTTATTATAATAGCATAAAATCTGAGGCATTATTGAAGATACTCAAACATCAAGTGAAGACACAGGCAAGGGTGGACAGCACAAATACTCTCTATTCCCTGCTTTTTCTTCATAAAAATTATTCTTTGTTATTTGTTGAACATGTATAATTCATATTAAAATGCAGGCTACATGAAGACAAGAGGCTTTATATTCCCAGAGACTAGAAGACAATCTGACCTACCAGACACACAAGAAATATTTAATAAACGAATGAATATATCATACAGAAGAACTCCATACCCTGAAAATATACCTTGTTTTATGCCCACGGTATAGTTACGGAAGCTGATCAACTAATTAACCATTAATAATCAATGAATTTTAAAAGTGGAATTACAGTACAGGCAATATTGTGATCACGGAATAATTAGAATACAATATGTCAGAATCTGTGTAAATTACTATGTATCAGAATCATGGGATACAGTTATGGTACTATTTAAAGGACTTCAAACTACTTACACTAGTAAATAAGAAAGAAAAATTGAAACGCTAAGATTTTTAATTTAAAAAAAAGTGTCACAGCATTTTTAGCAGGCAAAAAATACACATATATTAAATTTAAAATATCTATTAAAATTTAAAACACGTATATATACCCTCTGACCCAGAAATTCTGCTTCCAGCAACTTATCCCATAAAAACTAATGTACTGTTTTACAAAAATATTATGTACCTGAATTTACTGCAGCACTGTTTTATACTGTAAACAGTGATGAGCTAAATTACTTGCGTATCTCACCATGGACTATACTTGACCATTAAAAAGACTCAATTTGGCCGGGAACAATGACTCACTCCTATAATCCCAGCACTTTGGGAGACCAAAGTAGGAAGGATTGCTTGAGTCCAGGAGTTTAAGACCATCCTGGGCTATAAAGTAAGACCTCGTCTCCACAAAAAATTAAAAATAAAAAAATTAGATGGGTGGGTAGGAGGAATGCTTACAACTGGCAAATCGAGGCTACAGTGAGCCGTAATCACACCAGTGCACTCAAGCCTGGGCGGACCTTTGTCTCAAAACAAACAAGCAAAAAGACTAAAACAATCAAAAGCCCTAAATATTTATGAATATAGAGAAAAATAGAAAACTTACACCAAGACGTTAACATGGCTGTGGGGATGAGAAATTCATATATGTTTTTACTTCATTTACAAAAAATTTTACATACATATACAAAATGCTTAAAAAAAAAAAAGGCAGGAAGAGAGGTCAGACACGGTGGCTCACGCCTGTAATCCCAGAACTTTAGGAGGCCAAGGCAGACAGATCATGACGTCAAGAGATCAAGACCATCCTGGCCAACACGGTGAAACCCCATCTCTACTAAAAATACAAAAATTAGCTGGGCATGGTGGCATTCGCCTGTAGTCCTAGATACTCAGAAGGCTGAGGCAGGAAAACTGAACCCGGGAAGCACAGGCTGCAGTGAGCTGAGATCGTGCCACTATACTCCAGCCTGGAGACACGGCAAAACGCCGACTCCCAAAAAAAAAAAAAAGACAGGAAGAGTAAATTAAAATTAACATAAAAACTGTTATTTTACAAACTGAAAACCCACAATAGCAAAGATACAATCAACCCAAATGTCCATCAATGGATGACTGGATAAAGAAAATGTAGTGCGGTGGCTCACGCCTATAACCCCAGCACTTTGGGAGGCCGATGCGGGTAGATCACGAGGTTAAGAGATCGAGACCATCTTGGTCAACAAGGTGAAACCCCGTCTCTACTAAAAATACAAAAATTAGCCGGGCGTGGCGGTGCACGCCTGTAGTCCCAGCTACTCGGGACGCTGAGGCAGGAGAATTGCTTGAACCCAGGAGGCAGAGGTTGTGGTGAGCTGAGATCGTGCCATTGCACTCCAGCCTGGGTAACAAGGGCGAAACTCCGTCTCAAAAAAAAAGAGAGAAAATGTAGTACATACACACAATGGCATACTACTCAGCCATAGAAAATAATTAAATCATGTCTTCTGCAGCAACGTAGATGGAACTGTAGGCCATTATCTTAACTAAAACAACTCAGAAACAGAAAGTCAAAGATTGAATGTACTCACTTCCCAGTAATAAGTGGGAGCTAAATAATGTGTACATATGGACATAGACAGTGGAATGAGAAACAGTGGAGACTTGGAAGGGCAGGAGGCCAGTGAGGGATAAGAATTACTTAATGGGTACAATATACATTATCCAAGTGGTGGATACACTAATAACCCAGACTTTACATAATATATCCATGTAACGAAACTATACTTGTATCCATTAAATTTATACTAATAAAAATAATTTTAAAATTAAGCTAAAATAAATTTCTTTAGAGATATTTCTTTGGAGGAGAAGGATAAGCCTAGCTGATCTAATTTTTAAAAGTCTTTTACAATTCTGCTTTTCACACAGGTCTTAATTACATCAGATACTATTTGACTATATTAGGCTCCAATGTCATGTTTTTGAAATGTTTGTCCCAGCACACTATTTATTGAAAAGTTCATTATTTCTCCACTGGATCTGTAATATCACTGTTACTATACCAACTCCAGATATATCTAGGTTCACCTGAAGATTCTGTTTCACTGGTCTATTTATTATCAACAGTATAACACTGTTTACATCACTACAGCTTTATAATTATGCATATACTGTATCTTGAGTCTTCACATCTTTTTCAAGGCATTTTTGCCATTTAGTCCATTACTCTTTCATTTTAATTTCAAAATCAACTTGTCAACATCCATGCAAAATAAAAAAATAAACATCTTGGCCAGGTGCAGTGGCTCCCACCTATAATCCCAACACTTTGGGAGGCCGAGGCAGGCAGATTAAAAGGTCAAGAGATTGAGACCATCTTGGCCAACATGGTAAAACCATGCCTCTAAAAAAATAAAAATAAAAATTTTAAAAATGAACAACTCAGATTTTTGACTGGAACCATACTGAGTTCTCACCTTAATTTGAGAACTAACATTTATATGATAGTGAGTCTTCCTAGCTAAGGATGTAGTGTTTCTCCTTTTACTCTGATTTACTTTTATTTCCTTTAGAAATGACTTGTAATTTCCTTGTATAGTCCTCATACACTTTTGGTGGGTTTATTTCTATTACTCAGTACAGTTTTTATGCTATAGTATTTTAAAAACAAATTTTCTCATTTATGCTGATAGTTGATTTTATTACACTGAACCTTGCAAATTTCCTAATAGTTCTTACAGTCTATAAACTTTCCTAGATTTTCTGCATAATTACATCATCTTTAAATAGCTGTGTTTTTCATTCTAATTCTTACAACTTACTTATTTTTCACTTTACTGGAGAAGCTGTTAACATGTTGAGTGGAAGCAGTGATTAGGTGTCATTGTTTTGTTCTGATTTTAAAGCAAATGTTTTTAACTTCACCATTCAGTACAGCAAATGCCCAAATATCTGGGCAAGGAAACTGTCTTTCCATTCCCTGCTATTTTAATAACTACTTAGTGATGAATTTTATCAAAGCATTTTCTTTGGCATCTATTCATTGCTTCTTTTGGGAGAAACAGTCTGCCATGGGTTCTGAATGTCCCTGCATATAACAGCTATATATGCCAAATTCTAAGACCTAACCATCCACTGGCGGTGAACAGTTTCTGTAGCTGGTTACAAAGACGATTAAATAGGTTAAGGGGACCACAATGTGACTACTACAGCAGTGATAGTGCCGAGATAGTGCACTGTGAGCCGAGATAGCGCCATTGCACTCCAGCTCGGGTAACAAAAGCAAAACTCCACCAAAAAAAAAAAAAAAAAAAAAAGAACAAAAAATCAATAGATTTAAATGTGTCAATCGTTTCCCCTCCACGACTACTCAATTAGATGCCCTTTATAAGTAATCAAAGCCAACAATGATTGACCCCTTGCAAACTGTGTTTCCTAAAAGAATATTATTAAAGAAACTGAGAGAATGCCTTATAATAGGAGACTTTGTAAGAACCCAAATATTTCCAGAATACTTCTGAAAAAATGCCTTACTTCTAATTAAGCAAACCTATCAAATGAAATTCTAATTAAGCAAATCTCAAAATCCATATCATACATTAATAATTTAATAATTAACTTGCAAGACTTTATCAATAGGGTTTTTTTTTTTTTGGTTTGGTTTGGTTTGGTTTGAGACAGAGTCTCACTCTATTGCCCAGGCTGGAGTATACTTGTGCTATCTTGGCTCAATGCAACCTCCAACTCCTGGGTTCAAGCAGTTCTCTTGCCTCAGCCTCCCGAGTAGCTGGGATTAAAGGTGTTCGCCAGCTGAGTTTTTTGTATTTTTAGTAGAGGCATGGTTTCACAGTGTTGACCAGGCTTGTCTCAAAACTCCTGACCTCAAATGACTTGCCCATCTCGGCCTCCCAAAGTGAGGAGATTACAGGCGTGAGCCACCACACCCAGCCCAAATATTTTAAATATATTTTTTATGAGTTACAAAATGCCAAGAGCTATGGAACACCAGTTATCAGTGCTATTATACTGCATAGTCACAAAAAGAACATAATGCTTGTTGCTTTCAAAATTTGAAATCCCAGTAAAATTTCATCCATGTTTGAGTCTAGATTTCAAAGGCAGATATAATGGTGAGTCGAATATCAAAGTACTTGTACTATTATTTTTATCCTTTTACCTGTATTCAGGTTGCCTGCTTGCAGAATGATCATCTCTTGTCCATCTATAACCAGATTCATCCTGAAACATAAAAAAGTTACTTAGCTATTTGTTTACATTATTTCGGACAAGTGGGATATATCTTACAATATTACCAAAAACTACTCTAAGTTTCCCTAAACTTCAACGCCATAAAAAGGAAAAAAAGATTCAGCAAGTCATCTATTTCAACAACTAAAACAGTGGACTGATTGAGAGCCTGTGGCACCATCTATCACTATTAAAAGGCTTAAATTATTTCTTTGGTACTCAAACAACCTAATTGCCAAAGATACATATATCAATATCACAACAGCTAAGGGCTATTTGAGGACAAAGTCCAAAAATTTCATAAAGCACACGTTTCTCAACCTCATGTTTTCCCTTCTGTCTAGTTCCCTTACCAATTTTCAGATGAAAGCCCAATGAAAAGCTTGCTACTTTCCCATTTTTCCTGTTCAAGTTTTATTTTCTCACCTTATCTCCAATTAAAAACCAAACTGGAAACAATATAAGAAACTCTCATGTACAGATAATCTATATTAGAATAAGATTTAAATTTATTTAAACTTAAATTTAAAATTAATCAAATAAAGCACATTTTGTTCTCCAAGACAAGACATATTTGCGAAGGTGCATGAGAAAGAACCATGTAGCAATCCACACCCAATTACTTAAAAATTATACATAGAATCGGCTGGGCGCAGTGCCACATACCTGTAATCCCAGTGCTTTGGGATGCTGAGGCAGGTGTATCACCTGTGGTCAGGAGTTCGAGACCAGCCTGGCCAACATGGTTAAAAACCCTCGTCTCTACAAAAATACAAAAATTAGCTGGGCACAGTGATGTGCACCTATAGTCCCAGCTACTCAGGAGGCTGAGGCAGGAAAATTTCTTCAACCCAAGAGGCAGAGGTTACCCAGGCAAGATCATGCCACTGCACTCCAGCATGGGCAACAGAATGAGACTCTGTCTCAAAAAATGAATAAAATTATATATAGAGGCCGGGCGCGGTGGCTCAAGCCTGTAATCCCAGAACTTTGGGAGGCTGAGGCGGGTGGATCACAAGGTCAAGAGATCGAGACCATCTTGGTCAACATGGTGAAACCCCGTCTCTACTAAAAATACAAAAAAAATAGCTGGGCATGGTGGTGCGTGCCTGTAATCCCAGCTACTTAGGAGGCTGAGGCAGGAGAATTGCCTGAACCCAGGAGGCGGAGGTTGTGGTGAGCCGAGATCGCGCCATTGCACTCCAGCCTGGGTAACAAGAGCGAAACTCCATCTCAAAAAAAAAAAAAAAAAAAAAAATTATATATAGAAAAATATGATATGCAAATTATGTATCAGGAAAACTGATTAAAATAAGTATCCTCTTCCTCCTCTTTAGCATCACATACCCTATTCTTATATAAATAAAATATAATCATTTTCTGTCTTAACATTAAATATAAACAAAATTAAAAATTTAGCAATAATAAATATTAAATCAAGTAATCTGTTTGCATTACATAAATGAACTCTAGATAAGAATTAGTATCATAAGAGTCTTAAGGATCACAAGCATGCTTGTTGTTTGAAGGGAATTTAAAGAAAAAATGTTATATACACAAAAATATAAAGACAGACACAATTGGTAACAATATTAGAAAAAAACCTGTCACTGAAGTTCTACAATGCTACAAGTTCTTAGGAAAAAAATTCATGTTCATGAGGTTTCAAACACAAACTACGGTTTTCACAAAAATGGTAACAAATGAGGAAAAGGGACACTATAATCTCGAACCTCACTGCTATACAACTCATCCATGTAACCAAAAGCTACTTGAACCCCAAAAGCTACTGAAATAAACAAAAATTTTAATAATAAATGTGAGGACAACAAAAAAGCAGCATGACATTTAAAAACTGAATAAAGTAAAAATCAATGCTGTAAAGAGTAAAAAAAGCTATAAAACCCCAAACTTTAGGAACGAACACGAGAAAACATCTGTCTCATTACCACTTTGGAATTCTTAGGGGTCACTACAATGCAGTAGTAAAAGAAACCAAACTCCCATACATACCTATCCTGAATAAATCACCTTAACTCCATTTCTTCAAGCATAAAGTATGGAAACTAATTCCAATAGCCAATATGAGGTCAAATTTTTTTTATACACAGGGTTTGAATACGTACTGTTAATTGCCATGTTATACAGTAGAAAAGGTGGAAAAAGAGAAAAGGTAGGAAAACCACCTAGCTGATGAAAGTTGAAAACATGCAAGGTAGGACAGAGAAATCCATCAAAGTACAGTATTAAGTTCAATTACAAACCACTGCAACATTAAATACATACTTCTAGACTATTAAGAATGCTGAAGAGAAACAAGTTGTAATAGTAATAATAGCAGCTAACTTTTTTTTTTTTTTTTTTTTTGAGACGGAGTCTCGCTCTGTCACCCAGGCTGGAGTGCAGTGGCGAGATACCAGCTCACTACAACCTCCATCTCCCGGGTTGAAGCAATTCTCCTGCCTAAGCCTCCCAAGTAGCTGGGATTACAGGCACCCACCACCACACCTGGCTGATTTTTATATTTTTAGTAGAGACAGGGTTTTACTATGTTGGCCAGGCTGGTCTCAAACTCCTGACTTCAGGTGATCCACCTACCTCGGCCTCCCAAAGTGCTGGGATTATAGGCATGAGCCACTGTGCCCAGCCAGCTAATATTTTTAAATTGCTTCCAATGGCAAAGTTTTGAGGGTTTTCTAATTTTAGTTAATAAACAGACTTTAGGCTGGGAGTCGTGGCTCATGCCTGTATCCCAGCACTTTGGGAGGCTGAGGCGGGCAGATCACTTGAGGTCAGGAGTTTGAGACCAGTCTGGTCAACATGGTGAAACCCAATCTCTACTGAAAATACAAAAATTAGCCAGGCATGGTGGCATGCACTTGCACTTGTAATCCCAGACACTTGGGAGGGTGAGGCAGGAGAATCGCTTGAACCTGAGAGGCGGAGTTTGCAGTAAGCCGAGACTGCACCACTGTACTCCAGCCTGGGTGACAGAGCAAGACTCCATCTCAAAGGAAAAAAAAAAAAGTGGGTCATCTAGTAAGAAATGGTAACCACCTGCTCATCACTTAGTAAGTACCAAGACAACAGACTACCTTCACATGGTTCTACAAATCCCTGCCAATTTAGGGGATTAAAGAAAAGCAGGCTGGTTGGAATTAATTTCATTTAGATAGTGCCACCCAGAGTGCTTACCTACTTTGTCCAGCACCCCAAGATTCTTGACTACTAGTTGCCATCTGACAGCTCCAGCTGGCAATTCACATGAGAGCACCAAGCAGAAAGTGTTTATTCAACTGCTTTCATGGCCGTCACATAAATTTTTTAAATTACATTTATTTTATACTTATAAGAAATAACAATTAGTACATGGGGGAAATTTACATACTCCTCTGTGAGGTGGACCACTTCTTCGATCATGAGAAAAACTGCGGCCCTCGTCATAGTCTCGGTAATCAACATGACTGTAATATCTATTGTAGCTTCCTTCACCAGGTCTGTCTAGCAGTGGTGGTTTCTTTGGCACAATATTAACTAGTCTATTGTAGCCATCCTAAAACAGACAAAAAGAAATATATAAAAATCACTAATTTCTCTATTTGGCTTTGGAAAGGTTATAAAAAAGCACAGGAGTTCTTATCCTTAAATAAGCTAAATGCAGAAACAAAAGCATTAATGAAATAACATAAACATAACTAATACTAAGGTCTTCACGTGGATTAAAGGAAATCAAGCTGTTCAATGAAGAAAGCCAGGTGTTCAAAATAACATGCAGCAATGCGAAAACCAATCATAAGTAAAAGAAAAAATACAATATTATCATTTTAATAAAAAATAAACTTAAGACAGTTAGAATGTTACAGTAGCTCTATCCCTAATTGCCTAAGAGTTTTGGAAATAAAATCATGTAAGATAGCATACATTTTTGGTCTACTGTGTTTGAACTATGCTATTGAGAAAAAATATAAGCTATTTACACACAAGCAACAGCTAACAGGGAGATGACACTCAGGCAGAATGATCAAAAGGAAACATTTTGCTATTTTTCCAGCAGTAATGGAGAGAGGAGAGCCTTTGACTTTACAGATCTAGAAGTAAAATAAAAGCTGACATAAAATTTGAACTGATTTTCAACATACTGCAATACGCTGTTGATGTTTTAAGAAATGAGTAGGTTTTTTTGTGAGACTTGGGGAATTGGACACAGAGAACACGTCTTAGGTTAGTAGCTGCTATGAAATAACAATAGAAAGTAGAAGACAGCTACAGACCATATATCTGTAAATCTGGTCTTGGGGCCGGGCGCGGTGGCTCAAGCCTGTAATCCCAGCACTTTGGGAGGCCGAGGCGGGTGGATCACGAGGTCGAGAGATCGAGACCAACCTGGTCAACATGGTGAAACCCCGTCTCTACTAAAAATAAAAAAAATTAGCTGGGCATGGTGGTGCGTGCCTGTAATCCCAGCTACTCAGGAGGCTGAGGCAGGAGAATTGCCTGAACCCAGGAGGCAGAGGTTGCGGTGAGCCCAGATCGCGCCATTGCACTCCAGCCTGGGTAACAAGAGCAAAACTCCGTCTCAGAAAGGGGGAAAAAAAAAAAAAAAAAAAAAAAATCTGGTCTTGGGCATTCTTGGTACATATCAAATGAGATACATGCTTTAAAAAAAAAAAAAAAAACTGTAAAGCCTGATTTAACACAAGATCAATATGAGTTAACTAATCTGGAAAAAAACCAAGACTTACAAAATATAAAGTTCAACATTCGGAGCTGTTTATCTATCAACCCAAGCCTGTAAAATGAAATTAATTCTAACACCTACCTCATGGCATTATGAGGACTAAATGAGAAATGCAATGCAAAGTGTTTAGTACCGTGTTCAGGCATACACTAAGCACTCAAAAAATGTTTGCTATATTGATTACTACTGTGCAAGTCTATGAAAAAAATATGTACCTCAAACTGTTTCCTTAAATTACTTCTTAGCCGTAATGACTATAACTATTCAATTGTTATTAAATGACTATATACTCTTCAAATCTCTCAATAGGCAGGAAATTTGTCAGTGGGTCAGGAAAAAAGTAAAATCAGTGGTTTATATTTATTTGAGAGATTAAAAGATCTAACTAATTCTTCCCATGGAGATCTAAGGTGGTTTCTTACTTTAGTATGTTAGATATTAATTATAAGATATATTCTACCTTTACAGAAAATATAATACACAAGTGAATATACTGACTCATTCTTCTACACACTACCTTTCACAGAGATTTCAATTAAATTTAATACTGAGCTGCTAAAAAGAAAAAAAAAAAAAAACCTGGCATTAAACCAAAATTAGTAAAATTACAATTTACAGCATTTCTAATTCAAAATTTGTCACTCACAGAATCAGAATAACAGACATCTCCAAATTCCAAAAAACCATAAAAATCCATTACACAGGCAGGGCTTGGTGGCTCACACCTGTAATCCCAGCACTTTGAGACTAGCCTGACAAACATGGAGAAACTCCGTCTCTACTAAAAATACAAAAGTAGCCGGGCATGGTGGTGCATGCCTGTAATCCCAGCTATGCCAGAGGCTGAAGCAGGAGAATCACTTGAACCTGGGAGGCAGAGGTTTCAGTGAGCCAAGACCATGCTATTGTACTCCAGCCTAAGCAACAAGAGCGAAACTTCTGTTTGAAAAAATAAAATAAAATCCATTACACGATATCCTTCTTGTTTCTATATGTTTACTTGGAGGGATGGTGGGGTAAACACTTCTGTGAATATAGTTTATTATAAAACATTTTGTTCCTTTGTTCAACTGCCCCAGTTATTAGAAAGTTATTTGGGGATTATAAAATGTATTTGTTAAAACTTTGGGAGACTTATCAAATCAGATTTAGTTACTTATTTTAAAAATTGCTTTACCAGCTGAAGTAAATGAAAACAATTATTCTAAAAGTTGTTTAAGTTCAGGCCAGTAATCCTAACACTTTGGGAGGCCAAGGCGGATGGATCACTTGAGGTCAGGAGGCCAACACAGTGAAACCCTATTTCTACCTTAAAAAAAAAAAAAAAAATGCTGAGTGTGGTGGCACATGCCTATAGCCTGTAGTCCCAGCTACTCAGGAGGCTGAGGCAGGAGAATTGCTTGAACCTAGAAGCAGAGGTTGCAGTGAGTTGAGATCAAGTCACTGCATTCTAGCTGGGGTGGCAGAGTGAGACTCCATCTCAAAAAACTAAAAAAATATATAAAAGTTGTCTAATGAGCAAAAGAAAAAAAATCCCATGACAGCTCTTATACCTGGCTATAAGGACCAAACTGCTATTTTGAAAAAGTGTTCAAATATATGTACATTATACTATCTCTGCTACGTAGACACCTAATCTTAAAGAAAACTCCCTAGCTGTATGAAAAGATCTAAAGAAACAAAGATGACTGCCAGAGCCTGTAACAAAGCAGGGCTGTATTTTTAAAGACTTCATGTCTTATCCAGGTATACCATTCAAGGATTTTTGTTCCTAATAAAATCCATGATGAGTGGCAAAGAATTCAAAATTTTCCTTTCAAAAAGACTTTTTCTTTTTTTTTTTTTGAGACAGAGTCTCACTCTGTAGCCCAGGCAGGAGTGCAGTGGTGCAATCCTGGCTTACGGCAACCTACAGCTCCTAGATTCAAGTGATTCTCCTGCCTCAGCCTCTGGAGTAGCTGGGATTACAGGTGCATGCCACCACACATGGCTAGTTTCTGTATTTTTAGTAGAGACAGGGTTTCATCATATTGGTCAGGGTCATCTCGAACTCCTGACCTCAAGTGATCCACCCACCTAGGCCTCCCAAAGTGCTGGGATTACAGGCGTGAGCCACCACAGCCCAGCCTTTTCAGAAAGATTACATTGTGGAAGCTCAAACAGTATTTTTATTACCTGCATTGCCAAACATGAATAGAAATAATAATACTGTTTGGAATTCTTATGCAAATCTTACGTTAAGCCGTAAACACGCAATTTTCCTTTTTATATGCTAACACAGGTACACAGGCTTAAAGTACTACCGATGTTTGGAACCTCCATTTTGGAAAGATATTGGCAAAAGTAATTTAAGAATGGACAACCACCATGAACAGGCATTTCTCCAAAGAAGACATAAAAACGGCCAGCTCCCCAGTTGTAGGCAGCTGCCTAGGTTACCTTGTACCTAGGCAAGTATTATACTGCTGGGAGAACAGTAGCCAATAGCTGATTGGTATTCTGGCCCTGGTTCATCCCAACTCTGTTGACTACACCAGGATGCTAGCATAGTTGAAAAGAAAATAAAAATGGCCAGCTGGGCACAGCTGCTCACACCTGTAGTTCCAGCTACTTGGGAGGCTAAGGTGGGAGGATCCCTTGAGCCTAAGTTCAAGGTTGTAGTGAGCTGTGACTGGCAACTGCAATCCAGCCTAGGAAAACAGAGTGAGACCCCCATCTCCAGGTAATAATATTTAAAAAAAAAAAAAAAAAAAAAAAAAGGGCGCCGGGAGCGGTGGCTCACAGCGGTAATCCCAGCAATTTGGGAGGCCGAGGCAGGTGGATCAAGAGGCCAAGAGATCAAGACCATCCTGGTCAACATGGTGAAACCCCGTCTCGACTAAAAATACAAAAAATCAGCTGGGCATGGTGGCACGTGCCTGTAATTCCAGCTACTCAGGAGGCTGAGGCAGAAATGCCTGAACCCAGGAGGCGGAGGTTGCGGTGAGCCAAGATCGCGCCATTGCACTCCAGCCTGGGTAACAAGAGCAAAACTCCGTCTCAAAAAAAAAAAGGTCAACGGGTATATGAAAAGGTGCTTGAATCAGTAACCATAGGAAAACTGCAAATTAAAACCACTATGAGATACCCCCGTCACACCCTTAAGGATGGCTATAGACAGAAAGACAACAGATAACAAATGTTGGTGACGGTGTGAAGGAAAGAGAACCCTAATACACTGTTGGTGGGAATATAGATTAGTACAGCCCTTAAAGAAAACAGCATGAAAATTCCTAGAGAAAGTAAAAATAAAACTACCACATGACACAGTAATTCCTCTTCTGGGTATACTGTATATCTAAAGGAGATGAAATCACCACCTGTTGAAGATATTCACATTTCCATGTTCATCGCAGCATTATTCACAGTTGCCAACTTTAGAAACAACTTAAATGCCCATGGAAAATAAATGGACCAAGAAAATCTGGCATATAAATATATTAGTGGATTATTCATCCTTATAAAGAAAGGGAGATATTGCCATTTACGACACATGGATGTACCCAAAGGACATTATGCTAAATGAAATAAGCTAGATACACACACACAAAAAAAAAATTGCATGATCTCATTTATATGTAGAATTAAAAAAAAAGAGTTCAGCCAGGCGCGGTGGCTCAAGCCTGTAATCCCAGCACTTTGGGAGGCCGAGGCGGGTTGATCATAAGGTCAAGAGATCGAGACCATCCTGGTCAACATGGTGAAACCCCGTCTCTACTAAAAATACAAAAAAGTAGCTGGGCATGGTGGCGCGTGCCTGTAATCCCAGCTACTCAGGAGGCTGAGGCAGGAGAATTGCCTGAACCCAGGAGGCGGAGGTTGCGGTGAGCCAAGATCGCGCCATTGCACTCCAGCCTGGGTAACAAGAGCGAAACTCCGTCTCAAAAAAAAAAAAAAAGAGTTCAAATACACAGAGATAAAGGATAAAACTGGTACCATCGGTAGGGGAAGAAATGGGGAGATGTAAGTCAAGGAATACAAAACAGTTAAGTAGGATGAACAAGTCTAGAGATCTAATGTACAATATGAGGACCAAAATTAGTAAAATGGTATTGCATTGGAAATTTTTGGGAAATATACAAATGTTAGGTGTTCTTATCACACAATAAGGTAACTATGTGGGATGATGAATATGTTTGTCTCCTTCACTACAGTAACCACCGTACTATGAATATGCATCCATGTGCATCTGCATTTATATGTATCCCATAACATCATGCTGTAAATCTCAAATATACACAATAAAATTTATGTTAAAAATAAGTAAATCAAAATAAAAAATGCAAAGAAAGAGAAAAAAATACCTTGAAAAACAATAGCACCGTAACATACAAACCAGAAATAAAAATTATGATTTATAAAGAATGTCTTAGAAGGTTAACAGGGTCATTTTCAATTAATCAAAAAATAAATTCAATGGAGTTGAAACATTTCTATTATTTCAAATACAGGTATTTCAAATCTTGAATTTGTATATAAAACCTCAATTTACTTAAATGAAAGTTACCAGGAGAAAGAAAATACAATCTATTTAAAAAATAAAAATAAAAATCTCAATTTACTCAATCAACATCAATTTTTACAGCTTCTGTTTATTATTTAAAATATCTACATATTAATGTAGATACTGATTTATGCATCTACATGTTAATGATTATCCTTATTAAAAAGATCAGAGGTCTTCTCTCTCTCAAGGTCGGTGCTGGCCCTGCCCACACCTAGGGCTCTGGTGCTGCCAGGACCGCAGCTGGGGTTCCCGTGCCCCTCGGACGCCCATGAGACTCTGACATCTTTCCAGGGGCAGCGTGAGGAAGACAGACGCACCCACCAGGACGTCTTAAGCCGCCTGCCAACACTGCTGCCACCCTGCCCAAGAGAAAGGCAAAAGGAGATGCTGGCCGGGCGCGGAGGCTCAAGCCTGTAATCCCAGCACTTTGGGAGGTCGAGGCGGGTGGATCACGAGGTCAAGAGATCAAGACCAACCTGGTCAACATGGTGAAACCCCGTCTCTACTAAAAATACAAAAAATTAGCTGGGCATGGTGGCACGTGCCTGTAATCCCAGCTACTCAGGAGGCTGAGGCAGGAGAATTGCCTGAACCCAGGAGGCAGAGGTTGCGGTGAGCCGAGATCGTGCCATTGCACTCCAGCCTGGGTAACAAGAGCGAAACTCCGTCTCAAAAAAAAAAAAGAGATCGAGACCAACCTGGTCAACATGGTGAAACCCCGTCTCTACTAAAAATATAAAAAATTAGCTGGGCATGGTGGCACGTGCCTGTGGTCCCAGCTACTCAGGAAGCTGAGGCGGAAGAATCGCTAGAACCCAGGAGGCGGAGATTGCAGTGAGCTGAGATGGCGCCATTGCACTCCAGCCTGGCGACAGAGCATGACTCCATCTCAAAAAAAAAAAAAAAAAAAAAAAAAAAAGGAGATGCTAAAGGTGATAAAGCAAAAGTGAAGGATGAGCCACAGAGGAGATCAGCGCAGTTGTCTGCTAAACCAGCCCCTCCAAAACCGGAGCCCAGGCCTAAAAAGGCCCCTGCAAAGAAGGAAGAGAAGCTGGCCAAAGGGAGAAAAGGGAAAGCAGATGCTGGCAAGGATGGGAACAACCCTGCAGAAAACCGAGATGCCTCCACACTCCAGTCACAGAAAGCGGAAGGCACTAGGGATGCCAAGTGAAATGGACAGTTTTGACAGTTCTGTTTTTACAGTAACTCTACTGTTTGAAATACTATATTTTTAAATCAAGTTTTATAAAACTGTAGAAGTTTGGCTCTCTTTTTTAAGTTATGTTGTTAGCACACAGGATACTTCATTGTTGTCTTTTGTGGAAAGGGCAAATACAATAGGGTGTACCTCAGAAATGGAATTAAAATAGGAGAAAATAAGATTTTCCATCCCAGTTTTTGAAGATTGTTCTTGATTCCCAGGAGAGATTCTCTGACATTCCCATGTCGGCCACTTGCCCACAGAAGCCTTACAGCGTAGGGAAGCAAAACTTCACATCTTCTTCCCCGATGCCATCAGCATAGACTTAACTTCCTTAAACAAAGAGTCTTGATGTAGCCTTGGCAGTCCGAAAATCAACTGTATTAGGTAACAAAACTCAGGCTCTCCGGTGATGACATCGAAATGGTGTCACTCGAAAGAGCCAAGATGCCTGTTTCTGGTTTGTGGATTCATCCTGCAGGTTTTACTTTATTTCCTCCATATCAAAGTGGGCCTGTGAAAAGTTCATACATGCCTCATGTGAAGTGTCCACCCTCTCTGAATATCTTTCTCGTTCAGAGCAGCAACAAAATACATTGTTAACTTTTACAGTGACTTTCGGAGGAGGGGAGTTTGGAAATTGTAATATGTTGACTATTTCCTGCTGAAAATAAATGTTTTTAAAAAGTATAATACAAAGCTGAATACTAGTTTGTTTGTGGGGAGATCCTTTTCTACCCAAAGTCATAAATACATTCTTTACTGCCTCGTAGAAGTTTTATAGTTTTTTCTTTCATATTTGTCTTCAGTCTGCCCTGAACTGCTTTTTTGTGAAAATTAAGAGTTAGAAATTCAATTTAATATTTTTCATATGGCAAAGTGGTTGTCTCAGCACTGTTTACTGAAAAGTTCATCCTTTCTCCAGTGATTTGTAATACTGCCTCTTTTTCATAAATTAAGGGTTTGTATACATGTTTGAGTATTTTGATGGTTTCTATTCTGACTCATGTCAATTTGTCTTATCTTGTAGCAGTACAATACAGTCTTGATTATTACAACTTTAGAAAAAGGTCTTGATAAAAACCAAGATGCCTCCACATTTTGTCATAATTTTAACCAATCTCACCTCTGTCTCCAGTATCACCACAAATTTTTTCTTCCTTGGAGTGTCTTAGCTATTCTAAGTCATCTGCTCTTCTATGTAACTTCTAGAAGTAGATCAACAAGTTATAAATCAAACAAACCCAAGAACGTTTAAATTTTGATTGGATTTGTATTGAATGTATAGATTACTTTGGTAAGCCATGGGATCTTTACAATATTGTCTTCCAATCCATGAATATGGTACAGCTGTCCATTTACTTAGGCCTTTGACATACCTTTCAATAAAGTTTATAATTTTCTCCATTTAAAAAAAAAAAAGGCCGGGCACGGTGGCTCAAGCCTGTAATCCCAGCACTTTGGGAGGCCGAGGACGGTAGATCACGAGGTCGAGAGATCGAGACCATCCTGGTCAACATAGTGAAACCCCGTCTCTACTAAAAATACAAAAAACTAGCTGGGCATGGTGGTGCGTGCCTGTAATCCCAGCTACTTAAGAGGCTGAGGCAGGAGAATTGCCTGAGCCCAGGAGGCAGAGGTTGCGGTGAGCCGAGATCGCGCCATTGCACTCCAGCCTGGGTAACGAGAGCGAAACTCCGTCTCAAAAAAAAAAAAAAAAAAAAAAATCAGAATTTTCTGTGGATGTTACTAGAATTTCCAAAAAATATGCATAGAATTTACTGGATTTGCTACTCCAAAGTTAGTATTAATGGTATGGTCAGATCAAAATTAAAAACTTTAAGTAGCTCATTTTAAAAAAAAAAGTCTGTCTATTAATAATTTATCTAATCTGGCAGGATATTAAAAAAATTTGCACATAAATTTAAATACTTTTTTTGGAAAGTTATACTTCAATGAAATCTAATCTTTCAAATCTGTCATTATCTTAGGGGTGACGTCTCACCCCTAAGGTTACTACTGCAAGAGAACCTCTAAGCGTGTGTAATAAGAATTCTTCAGTTTGCATATGCAGATGAGAATCTGGTCAGAATAAAATATCTAGTTTTCCAATTTAGAAATCTGAATGATTTTGTTAGAAAATAATCAGCTTAAGGCCGGGCACGGTGGCTCAAGCCTGTAATCCCAGCACTTTGGGAGGCCGAGGCAAGTGGATCACGAGGTCAAGAGATCGAGACCATCCTGGTCAACATAGTGAAAGCCCGTCTCTACTAAAAATACAAAAAATTAGCTGGGCATGGTGGCGCGTGCCTGTAATCCCAGCTACTCAGGAGGCCGAGACAGGAGAATTGCCTGAGCCCAGGAGGCGGAGGTTGCGGTGAGCCGAGATCGCGCCATTGCACTCCAGCCTGGGTAACAAGAGCGAAACTCCATCTCAAAAAAAAAAATAATAATCAGCTTAGCCGGGCGCAGTGGCTCAAGCCTGTAATCCCAGCACTTTGGGAGGCCGAGGCGGGTGGATCACGAGGTCAAGAGATCGAGACCATCCTGGTCAACATGGTGAAACCCCGTTTCTATTAAAAGTCCAAAACATTAGCTGGGCATGGTGGTGCGTGCCTGTAGTCCCAGCTACTGAGGAGGCTGAGCCAGGAGAATTGCCTGAACCCAGGAGGTGGAGGTTGCAGTGAGCCGAGATCGTGCCATTGCACTCCAGCCTGGGTAACAAGAGCGAAACTCCGTCTCAAAAAAAATAAAAGAAAAGAATCAGGTTTTTTTTTTGTTTTTTTTTTAAAGACAAAGTCTCAGCCGGGCGCGGTGGCTCAAGCCTGTAATCCCAGCACTTTGGGAGGCTGAGGCAGGTGGATCACGAGGTCGAGAGATCGAGACCATCCTGGTCAACATGGTGAAACCCCGTCTCTACTAAAAATACAAAAAAAAAAAAAAATTAGCTGGGCATGGTGGCACGTGCCTGTAATCCCAGCTACTCAGGAGGCTGAGGCAGGAGAATTGCCTGAACCCAGGAGGCGGAGGTTGTGGTAAGCCGAGATCGCGCCATTGCACTCCAGCCTGGGTAACAAGAGCGAAACTCTGTCTCAAAAAAAAAAAAAAAAAAAAAAAGACGAAGTCTCACTGTAGTGCCCAGGCTGGAGTGCAGTGGCACAATCTCGGCTCACTGCAACCTCTGCCTCCTGGGTTCAAGCAATTCTCTGCCTCAGCCTCCCAAGCAGCTGGGATTACAGGCACCCGCCACCACGCCCAACTAATTTTTGTATTTTTAGTAGAGACAGGGTTTCATCATGTTGGCCAGGCTGGTCTTGAACTCCTGACCTTGTGATCCACCTGCCTAGGCCTCCCAAAGTGCTGGGATTACAGGCATGAGCCACCACACCTGGCCTCAGCTACTTCTTCCTTTGCTATACATTCCAATATAACTATCTGTTATGGGAAATACTTTCATTTTAGTAAGTAAAAGCACCAAGTTGATGGTTTGTATTTGATTTGATATGAAAATCTATACCAAATTGTTCACACTGGTTGGACACAGCTCACACCTGTAACTGCAGCACTTTTTGGGGCTGAGGCGTGCAGATCAGCTTGAGGCCAGGAATTTGAGACCAGCCTGGCTAACACGGTAAAACCCTTTCTCTACTAAAAATATACAAAATCAGACAGGTGTGGTGAAACACAGCTGTAATCCCAGCTACTTGGGAGGCTGAGGTACAAGAACTGCCTGAACCTGGGAGTCAGAGGTTACAGTGAGCTGAGATTGTGCCACTGTACTCCAGCCTGGGCAGCAGAGCAAGACACTGCCTCAAAAAGTAAATATATAAATAAATTCCACACTGATATTAAATCTCATAATCAACTAGGTAAAAATTACGTGGATTACCATGTTCCTTTAAAAATATTTCTTTTCCAGGGGCCGGGCGCGGTGGCTCAAGCCTGTAATCCCAGCACTTTGGGAGGCCAAGGCGGGTGGATCACGAGGTCGAGAGATCGAGACCATCCTGGTCAACATGGTGAAACCCCGTCTCTACTAAAAATACAAAAAACTAGCTGGGCGTGGTGGCGCATGCCTGTAATCCCAGCTACTCAGGAGGCTGAGGCAGGAGAATTGCCTGAACCCAGGAGGCGGAGGTTGCGGTGAGCCGAGATCGCGCCATTGCACTCCAGCCTGGGTAACGAGAGCAAAACTCCATCGCAAAAAAAAAAAAAAAAAAAAAAAATTTCTTTTCCAATATATTAAAATTTACTCATTTTAACAGAAAATCATTTAATTTAAAATGAAAGTACTAATATAAATGTATTAAACCCAACCCCCCAAACATTCTTATCTTCTAGTGACACATACTGAAATACTTATTGACATTTGAAGTGTAGTATCACGATGTACTTCAAAATAATCTAGCTGATAATTGATTTCTCCTTTGGGAGTTTATTACATTAATGTCTATTATTATATGCTTGATTTTCCCCCTTATAAAACATCACAACAACTAAAACACACTAATCCACCAAAGAAGTAAGTAAATACAATGGTATAAGTAAATAATCAACACCATTACATCACAATCAACTTACAACGCAAATGTAAGCCGACAGAAACCTTACTGGTCTTATTTACTGCTCTATTCCCAGCACCAGGAACACTATCAGACACACAGTAAACACCATATCCATAATATATATTATACCCTGCTATCTCAATTTTATTTTACTTCTGGCATCACATTTTTATATACAGAAAAGTACCATACAAACCATATCTAACTAAAATATTCTATTATACAGGTTGGTAGGCTTTTGCTTTCATAAGCTTGTGATTTCCTAACTCTGATCTCTATAGTCTATGACACCCATTTCCATTGTAGCACTTGTTGATTTATTTCATTCACTGATTTTTCAATGAAATATTGGTGTTTCTAAGTCTTTCCAATGTCTTTTGGTGACAATGGGTCAAAAAGATGAAA